CACACGTCTGGCGTGGGGAAACTGGAATTGGACACAACAGCATCGTTGGCTCGCACGCGACCAGCCACTTTCCACATATTTCGCATCCTTGATTGGCATTCCGCGCCATCTTTATTGACGGGTGGGATTGTACTTGTTTATCTCGACGTATCGCATGTTGTGCAATTCAAGCACGTTTCGTAGGATGCGAAAACCCGCCGGCCCAATGGCTGCGCTCCGAAGCCGGAGCCCTGACTACGCGTTTGGAGTAACCTGGAAGCGGATCATTGGTGCATCGCGCCCTATCAATTCTCCGACGGGCTTGTCTTGCTGACTCTAGAGTGGATGTCTTGTACAGATAGCTTGGTGTAAGAGCGAGTCAGCTTGGCTACTCTTTCTGTTCCTTCATTGACGTGTGCCTCTTCACTACCATGCTGGGCAATACTGTTGGCGGGACGGGAGTTCGACTAGAGACGGCGACCTGTGGCAGACGACGCAGCAAGTGCGCCACCGGTGCTGTCATTGTTTATCCACTCGAGATCCACGGATCGGTCGATTTGCTTGGTACCTGAGCGTGGCTGGGAACAGTCGCAAACCTTACATCGTTCAAAACTGTCTTCAGAGCACACCTCACGCCCTGTTCAGCGTCCTTCATGAACTTGTGCAACGGAAGTAAGCTTGCGGTTGCTCAAAGCTCATCCGTCAGACTAGCGACAGCAAACACGCCGAAGATATACACAGTGCACAACGTATACGTCGCACAAAAGTCGAACGAGTGTCGACGTAGCACATGCGACATGCGAGTCTCACGATCGTTCCACCGCTCTTTGCGACGCCGTTCCCGTGGAACACTGCAGAGATGAGAACGTCAAGAATAGAAAGTCGTTGTTCCAACCGGCCATGCATATGGTTTTCCTAGTGAAGCTCTATGCGGTCAGCTTACAATACCGCCGGAATTGACAATCCCAAGCCTGAAACTGTAAGCGTCTATAACACCGAGAACGCATGTTCCTCTACGAATAAGACATTCCCCTCATAGTCACAATAGACTCTTCGGAACTTCTCAGCGCAACGCACCATTCCCCCTTCACACATGCCTACTTCAACCCTGCTCAACAACCCTCCCCTTCCCGACTAATCACACCCTCCCCTACACAGAAGACCCCCCATCAATCGAAATATTCTGCCCCGTAATACTCCTACTAAGCGCCAGCACCCTAACCTGCTCCGCACAATCCTCCACCGTCGCCAACCTCTTCAACTTGGTATTTTGTATCGCCGCCTCCCTTTTCTTCTCCGGAAACTTGAGTCCCCACTCCGTAAGCAACATACCAGGACTAATACTATTCACCCTAATCCGCGGCGCAAGAATAACAGCCAAGCTCTTCGCAAGATGTATCTGCGCCGCTTTCGTTACAGCATACGGCACGCTACTCCCACTCGGCTTGACACCCGCTACACTTGCTGTGGAGATGAATGTGCCTTCGGTGGAGGCTAAGGCGTCTTTTGCGGCGTAGGCGAGCCACATGTGTGTTTTTACGTTCATGGTGAAGCACTTGTCCCAGTCTTCGTCGTTTACTTGCTGTTCGATGTCCGTGAAGGTGGTCATGCGCGTCCAGCCGGCGTTTGAGACGACGACGTCGAGGCGGCCCATTGTTGAGATGGTTTCTTGGACGAGGTTTTGGACGGAGGGTTTCGAGGACATGTCGGCTTGGATGAGGTGGAAGCGTGGGTTGGATTCGGAAGAGGGGCCTGGGATGGTGGAGAGCTCTTTCATGAGGGTGTTGGCTCGCTCGGAGTTTGAAGAGTAGTTTATTACCTGGGTATGTTAGTTGCTGTACTTAGTCGCGGTGTATGCTAAACATGTGACCGAAGGGTATCCATATACATACTACACGGAAGTCTGGTGCAAATACGCGTGCTATCTGCGCGCCCAGACCTGCTGAGCTCGCAGTAATGAGTGCAACTTTTGTGGTCGCCATTGTGAATTCTTGGGAGTATGAGAAGACGATAGTAAAGTGGGATGATGCTATATGTAGTGGAGAGCAACTGCTCCATATGTATCACCGCGGGGTGGACGCGGGGTTCCGCCATTGGATGCGGGTGCGGAACCATTCCGATGTGGACCCCTCCACCTCTCTTTGTTCTCTCATGTCTTCCGCTCTACTTCTTCATCTCAGCGCAGATATGGATGGGACATGCCGTCACGATCGATGCTTCTCATAAGTCTTCCAAGCTTCTTTTCTCTTTGAGCGCTACTGCATCCTACTCATGGAAATCCAAGCGCCTTACACACCTGAACGAAGCTCGTCATCGCATCACAGCTCACCTAGAGAGTCTTCTCTGTCTCAGCCAACACACCCAGTCCATCAGCGAGAGAACACACATCCCATCCTTCTCGCTCTCAACTCATCTCTTGTACTCCGCATCTCGGCATCACCCTTCCCCACGAGCTCCATAGGACCAAGTTCGTGAATTCGATATCCTCCTGGATGATATCGTTCGTCGCCTGGGACGACACCCCCAACAAGTCGCAGTAGCAAAGCGTTTGGACCCCACCTCTTCATGAACGACGGCTTGACGTACCACGGCCTGTCAATGTATTGACCAGCATTGGCGTAGCCAGTGCGCTCGTCGATCTCTGTGAACCAGTCCGGGCGTAGGAAGTACGGACGGGGGAGGAAGAAGTTTCGGAGCAAGAACTTGCGAATCTCGACCAATGTTTCTAGACCTTGGTAGTAGATGGCAGGGGGTTGCGGTATGCTGGTAGTGGTCAGTAACGTGGGTCAAGTAAGTGAGAGCTCCATCTTCCACTCACTTCATCGCTTTTCGTAAGCGCGGCTCGAGTAATATATGTGCTATGGTAAAGCTGAAAGGCTTGAGAGCGGAAGGTACGTTGAACAAGGCGACATCGAAGGTTCCACGACCAAGGGTCGCGTTTGTTTCAGCAGGCACCATGTTCTGAGCTTCGTATGCCAAACTCCATGATTCTACCTCCTCGAGCCAATGGAATCCGTCGCGCCATCCTTGGCCCGCAGAAGGTAGAGTGTCGTATGATATCTTCATCGCCTCACCCATATCCTTCCAGTAAACACCCATAGCACATCTCTCAAAGTCCGTCACAGTTCGCCATTCGTATCTGGCAGTCCACCTGATAGGTTCAAGAACGAATAGGCTGAGCGTATACAACATATCGTCATTGGATATCTTCCCCGCTTTGATATACCGACTATGAAGGTAGTTCATACGCGCTATGCCACTGATGGCGCGTTCAGAATCAGGTCTGTTGATAATCGCCTCGGTCATAATGGTAGCAGTATCAGCAGCTCGTTTCGATGCTGTTTCCGGGCAGGATAGTTGTCCTGTTGCGACAAGCAGCTTCGAAATACTGGGGATGCCATAGGTTTTGAAGAGGGCGAAGAATGTGGATGTGTGGAACACGATTGGGAATTCGAGTTCAGTAAGAGAAACGTGTACTGAATGCGCATCTTTGAGTGTCATTCGGCTCCATGATGAGCGGTCGGGGTACTAGGCTGTTTGTCAGCCTTGCGGAAGTGGGAGTGTTGATAGTATTGCTTTTACATCCAAGCGGTGAGTGAGGCCATCGCGACGCCTATACCGGAGAGCGCGAACGAGAAGCCAGTAGGCACTGAGAACGCTGAGTATCCAGAAACTAAGACTTGATGGAAGACGCAGGGTATCTGTGTGACTTGACGACGTCGAGTTCGTGGTTTGAACTGTGTATATTTCTGACATTGCAGCTTGATTCTGTGGATCAATACCAGACGCGGCTGAGTTTGAGGAAGCTGAGGTTGACATTGCAAATGATGTTCAGCCGTACTTAACTAAGTACGGTAGCGGTTGGTGCACTTGTGGGCGGAGGCTGAGGCACAGTCGCGCTATGCCATTCTAGGTAAAGTGGCACGCCGTGCGTTCCCACTGTGCGTCCTCAGGGTCCGTCCGCGGACTGCGATTGCATCATGTACGACGGCAATTGTTTCCCGTAGAACACAAAACCTTTAAATATCCACGCTCGGCCGCTGCGATTAGAGGTGGTGACTCATTCCTATCTGAGGACTTAATTCACCCTCCGTTTCGTCAATCATATCTAGAACGCGACATGCGATGTGTAGATTTCGATTATCGTTTATAGTAATGCCTTCCGTACCCAGATATCCTTCTTAGTCCTCGCCAGGACATCTTCTTTTTTCCCCGCGCCTCACACGTAGTGAAGGTAAGATGTGGCGGCTGACTACAACCTCGCAAGGGTCGACCTTTCGTTCCTTCCAATAAGTTGACCTTCCAGGAAGGATAATCAGACCTCCACCTCCACTTTTCGTCCTCAGTTGTGTCCTCTATCTCGACACCCGCATAGTCCCCCGCTCCGATTACGATGTTGTTAGCAGACGAGTTCCCGGTACACGAGGAACGTTTAGACCCGCGGCCACCAACGAACAGTCTAGATCGCAAGCTACCAGCGATAGCGCGCCCATCCAGCCATCGGGCCTGAGCGCATAAACCAAAGATAATTCCAGACAAAATCTACGCCCGATCTCACCGGTTTTGCTCAGCTCATCGATCCGTCACGGTCTATTGGACGCAGCATTCGCGGGGTGCAGTGAAGGACGATCAGGCTGACCAACGGGATCACCGAAGCCACAAGGCTGAGAATGCTGTCGAACTGACAACTCATGAGTGCATACAAACCCCGCGTCTTGTAATAAGTGACAGCGCATGTGTTTTGAGCCTCATTTTGGGAGAAGTTGTCGTGATGGGTTAAAGGGAAGTGTTTCGTCTGGATTCTCGCAGGTATCAGCAGGCGTCTTTTGGTGTTAGCACAACATGTCTGTTAGCGATAACTCTACCTTGGATGTGTCGCATGACAATGATGGTTTGGGTGGATACGCGTATGGCACGGGAGACTTAGCAGTCAGTCCTGAAGAGGTCTCGTAAGTTACACATCTCCACCGAGTTTCAGTATGGCGCTGATAGTGTCTTACAGCCCCTATGCAACCACGCAGATGGTGTCGCTGGAAGTCGGGCCAGAAGCGACCCGCTTCCTCGTCCACGACAGCGTCTTGAGCCGAAGCGAGGTTCTTGCCGCAAAGTCCTATCCATTGGCCTTTGTCAAGCAATCCGTACTTCTCCCAGAGCTGGATCTGAACACAGCGCACACTCTGGTACACTACCTATATACCGGCAAATACCAGAGCCTCAACACATCGGCGTCATCTGACAAGGTCATTCCCGAAGTCTACAAGCTTGGTGCGGGTGTGTACTGCGCTGCCGCTCGCTACAAGCTACCAGGTCTGGCTGAGCTGGCTCAAAACAAGCTGAAGTCCCTCGACGAAGAGATGAGCATCTTCGATATCCTCACTGTAGCGAGAGACCACGCATTTCCTTTACTACCGGAGGATGACTTGTGGTATCCGAGCTATATCGAGCAATCGCTCAACAATGCCATGGCGGACGATCCAGAGCCGTTCCGCAAGCCGGACTTCATTACGACGGTGGAGGGCAACAGCAGGCTTCTACAGCTCGTCTGGAAGACTGTCATGAGTAACTACGCTCGAGCGCCAGCGACACCGGTGGTCAATAACGAGGAAGCCACTACTCCAACAGCTGAGCTCGTGCCGGAGATCAACGAGTCGGTCGGTGGCGAAGCCGATGTCGCTACAATCGCGCCACCCAAAGTTGAAGACAAAGAAGAGCCAACAGCGACACCAGTGTCGGCGCCTGTTCCAAAGGACAATGTTACTGAAGCCGCGGTTGTGAACGACGCGATCAGTTCGAAGCCTACTGAAGAAGCCGCTGCGAAGTCTGAAGAAGTTCAACCAGTAGAAAAGCCAGCAACGCTTGAGCCCTTCACGGACGAGCTGGACTTCAAGTCCTCAAAAACGTACCAGCAGATGGGCAACAGAAAGCCAGAACCAGTCAATACCAATGATACAGTCTCAGAGACGACCAAAGCTCCTGTTCACGTACGATCAGACTCGGTGATGCAGGCCGAGCAGCCTGTGGTAACTCCCACCGATGAGAAGACGAACATCGATGGTGTTGCGCAAGCGGGAGATGGATTTGAGCCTCTACCGATGGACTTGGGATCAAACAAAAGCAAAAAGAGCAAGAACAAGAAGGCCAAGAAGTCGAAGCCGGCTGCTATCGAGCCTGTCGAGTAGGATCGGAAGATGTGAAGGGTCGGTCATGAAGAGCATGTGTAGCTTAGTGTTAGCAGATCTCAAGACTCTGTTGCACAAGTGTCAAACTGCTCAACCAATTACTACTCTTGAGCTCACACATTTTATGTAGTCATGATCATAACTGCGGTTCAGAGGCAGCTGTAAGCAGGTGAGACCAGTGGCGTAGACGTGCTCTTGTTCTGATGAAATGCTCGAGGTAAACATATCGTGATGAGCAAGATCCAGTCAGAGCTTGACGCTACAATTACCTGAGTCCGGATGGTGATGTGGCTGGGAAGGCCCGTCATGCGTCATCGGATTAGCCAGAGCGCACGCACAGACCTGAGCGCGCTAAAATGGCCCCTCCCTTCTCCTCACCTTCGCCCATTCTGATGATGTCCGTCCTCAACGCGATCGCACCAGGTCACCAAATTTTCGCTCGCATACTGAATGTCTCATCCAAACTTAACCACACACCTGAATGGCCTCTGACTGCTGAAAATGGAGCTTAACTGAACATGCTGGCCTACAAGGCTTGAGAAGCGGCACAACAAAGTCCTCTAGCCTTGCTGGCATTGCGTCATATACAGCAGCAAGGTGAGTGTCTCACCACGTAGGTAGGATGTGCGACTCACAACAACAGATCCATTTGAAGATTATGCATATCACAACTAACGTCTAAAAATGTCTATGAAGAAGGAGACCCGATCATCACTATCCCGCGCTTCACCGCACTCCAACTAACTGCGACCTGTTGTAAAAGCTCGAACCGACGCAACGTGTCGTATAGTCTGTCACTGCTCAGGCTCTACCCTTCGCCAACCCAGGTGTTCTGCATTGTCACCGAGACCCACCATTGATCCGACTTGAAGATCGCGACAACCCAGGTCCACGTCTCATTCGAATAATCGATGTATATATATTCTGCTGATCTCGCCGAACGTCTGCCATGCCGACCCAGCCGGATCTCGTTGACCTAATTCGGATCACAGCGAGTTCTTCATCTGTATGATATCAGGAGGTGTCATGATCAAACTGCTACTTCGTTCACGTACCATTCATGAGTAATCTCCGCCATCTTGACGCTGACCAGCGATTAGATCTTTTCAGGCGGCGCTTGCATACCATGCCTGTGACGGACAGTAGCACCATGATGAACAAGCTGACGATAGCAATTATAGCTTCTTTAGACCACGATTGCTCTCCATGGATAATATCTGTTGGTGGTGCCACTGGACAAAGTCAGCATCTTGAGGGCATACAGGGCATTGCCATATCTGTAGAGTACGCAGAGCAGCATTCTTTATACGAAATTGACGAGCTCAGTAAGAGGGAGCCATCTGCACGTACTCTCTGTCTCCTTCCACAATGATGGAAGAAACTGTCCCTACACTTGGCGAAAGTGACTGAAGTGGGAACAGAGGTGATGTTCAGAGAAGTTGTTTTTTATGGGTCTGGTGATAATCAAAGAAGCTGTCGTCAGGAGGTATGGTATGCGTCGAGCGTCGGGTCTGGAAGCAGTGAAGAATTTAGAGATTTGATGATGGACTGGCCTCAGGCAGTAAGCCACAAAGTGAGATAGAGATTCGAGAATTGGCTGGCTAGGTAATTGCACGGTATTCAAGGTTGTCCGCGCTTGAAGGAGTCGAGGCATCTACCGTTGTCAAGAAAAAACAGTGGTTGATTGAAGAAGGATAAGACGACATGTCGACGGTAGTGAATATCCAAATAAGGAAGCAACGCCGCGCTGCGCCTGCTTGTCAGACGCTAGGTCCGCGCGCGGATCTGCCCATCCACGCTACTGCGCCGTTCTGACGACGCCGTGCATACTGAAATCGAAGAACGATCTCTGATTAGTGGGTGCAGAGCGCTCGCGCGTTACATGTTAGGTCTCATTGGCTTTACGCCGGTGTGGCGTGCATGCTGGCATCACGTACTGTGCGCCAAGAGGTTCAGGTACCACGCTGCTGGGCTTCTTCTGTTTTACATCCTTGGAGCAAGAACCATAGCGCGTCTTCCGTAATGTGCAAGCTGCAACGAGTTGGCAGTGCTCAACTTGACGTCCTTCCGTACAACTCACACTGGTCATCGCTACCGCAAGCTACAAGCACGTGCGAGCCGCGTCTCTAAACAGACTAGCTGAGGCTCAAAAGGGATGCTAACGATCGGTGAAAACGTTAGACCTGGCCTCTGATACCTTAACATCGCTATTGGGCTATTCAAGTGACTGCTTCCTAAATTTGCGGACCGTTAAAGGCTCATCGTATCCGAATCCTCCACTATACGTTGCTCCTCTTTTCTTACTGTATGCATCGCTTAACTCTGCGAGTATGTTTACTAGCACGCTAGATATCAGTTCTTCTTCGTATTATAATCTGACCCTTCTCCAATACGATACTTGCTTGCTGATGCTTTGCCTTCCGTCCTACCGCGGGGTGTTCGGTCGCGCCACAGTAGCCAGATGATGGTACAGTCGGGACGCAGCATTGTTAGCTTTCATGTAGCAACGACATGCAACAAGGACCCACGTTCCGTAATCACAAGGACTTGTCGACTCGAGTGCGATCTAGTATTGTGTGTAACGTGTTGAGAAGATTAGGCACTATTGATGTCTTTGGTCCCAAACGGATGCACAGTACTTACTCGCATCCGGCTATGGTTGGAGATCCAGTAGGTATTCAGGATATTGCCCCTGCCAGGATGGCGACATGAGCGAGGAGGAAGTTTTATATACTCATTTCATTCCCTATCCAAATTTCCATTCTCAAAGAATCCCATACCCCTCCCTACCCTCAGCGACCCGGCACTTGCAAGCACTAGAGTAAACTCATATTGCACCAGGCGCTCAAGAGGCAAATGGAAAGAAGGTATATCCACATGGCTCAAACCAGCCCATCCGAAACCTTCCCAGCGGACAGGTAACACATTCAACTTCCATATATAAAAAAATATCCTCAAGACATTATCGACTAAAGTATCTCGCCTCGCCTGCTCCGGTGACCAGTCTCGATAAGTGAGATTGGGGACGGTTGACGCGAGGCTACAGGGGGTATAAGCATCGAAAAGCAAAGAGGTCTAGTAGTGACTTACCTTTCCACTGCGCACCCGCACACCTTCTACGATGTGCGAATGTGCAGTGGGAAGAAGTCACTACAGAGAATCGAAGCCAAGCGAAGGGAACAGGGTAAACAACGAATTCACAAGGAACCGCGTACCGCTAGTTGGAAAGGGTTCACAAAAGGAAATAGCGAAAAAAATGTCAAATCAAGATCAAGAAACCGCTCAAACGTTCCTCATAAAAGCACCAGTCTAGAATCAAACGTTGTTGTTTACATAGCCATACCAGGGACCGGCTTCCGTGCGGGGATAGGAACGGGTCCATTGGGGGTGATGGCGTTGGGGTTCATGGGACTGGGACCGGGTGCTGGACCTCGTCGTGGGTTGCCGGCCTGGCTCGCGGAGTTGGATCGTGGACGCCCGCCCATTTGGGGTGGGGGTGCCATCTGGGGTCCGCCGCCGTAGGGGCCGGGAGACATGGAGCGGGGTGGGCCGGCGTAGGGCGCGTTGCTGTTGGAGCGGCCGCGGGGAGGTCCTTGTTGGGGAGCGTTGCTGTTGGATCGCATGCGAGGGCTTTGTTGCATTTGCGGGGAGGGCATTTGCTGGGGCGACATCTGGCGAGGGGACATTTGGCGGGGACCGGGGCTGCCTTGGGGCATGTTGGGTGAGTTCATGCCAGGCGATTGGGGACGTTGCTGAGGACCGCCCGGACCCATGGCTGGGCGAATGGGTGGGCCGCGCATGTTGCCTGGTGGTGGAGGACCGTTGCGAGGAGGGCCGTTACGGGGCTTGACTGGGTGCTTGGAGAGACATGTGCGGGGGACAACACCTTGCTGCGAGCGGTCCATGCGGATGCAGAGAGCCTGAGAAACATTAGTCATGTTGTCAAGTTATGGGGTACAGTCAAACTTACCCATCCGTCGTCGTATTCGTGGAGCATGCGAACCAGCTGACCCGCGTGGAGATCGAGTTCATCTTGCATGGAAGGCTTGAAGTCAAGTTGAACACGGTGAACGTTGTTAGGACCGGGACCCATAGCAGGGCTCTGGGGACGACCACCAGCCATAGCACCAGCAACAGGAAGAGGACCAGCAGGAGCTGGGCCGGGAGACGCAGGGATGTCTTCAGTCCAGGCCGGGCTCGGGGGAACACTTCCGTTGTTGGCGGCGACAGTTGGCGGGGGAGGAAGCTCAGAAGTAGGAGGAGGGATCGTAGACATGGCAACAGCATTAGTGTCAGCGGTAGCGATAGCCGGAGCTGGGTTGGCAAAGTCAGAGCTGGGCTTGGAAGAGTGCATTGCAGAGGCCATGGGAGAAGCATTAGGAGGCGAGTCGGGGATGGAGGCTTGCTGAGTATCGACCGCAGCGTTGTTGCCAAAGGGGTTCGCTGAGGGAGGAGCAGATTGTGCCTCAGGGTCCTTGAATGGGTCGGCAGCGGGAGCGTTGGCGGCACCACGTCGCTCCCAGGCGCTGGTAGGACGGTCAGCGGATGCTGAAGGCGAGAGGTTACGGTTCTGGGATTGAGCAGCAGCACCACCGGCGGCAGCAGCGACGTTGAGCAAGTTTCCTCCACTCTTTCGCTGCTCGTTGAAAGCTGGGTCGAATTGGGTGACTGGGCGCAGGCTGAGGCGGGGGGCAGTTGAGGCGGTACGAGCAGAGCGGATGCTGCCTGCAGGAGCAGCGCCTGCGATAATTTGAGGAGGCGGTGGTGCAGGTGCGTTATACATCTCAGTCTTCTCGTTCTGAGCAGCAGCAGCGGCCATTTGCTTCTTCTTGCGGCGGTACAGGAGCAAGATACCAGTGAGGATAGCACACAAGACCAGGAGTATACCCAAGGCAAGACCTGCCTTCGCACCGGTGGACATGCCTTCCTCAGAGTCTGCTGCTGCGGCTGAAGAAGAGGATGCCGTAGCCGAAATGGTCGCGGCTGTGGCAGATGCGAGACCTGCGATCGACGAGGCAGGGCTGGGCGTTGGGGACTTGGTCGCTACCATAAGGGTGGAGGCGGGCTTGAGCGGGCTCTTCGCAGTTGAGGTCTCCTCCACGATTAGATCATCGTCGTCCTGGGTAGATGACGGCTTCCTGGCGGTTGTGGTGGGCTTTTCGGGCTTCGCAGTCTCCTCCGGCTCGTCCTCTTCCTCAGTAGTCGTCTCGCGAGCACGTGTCGCAGGCGCGGGCAGAGCGATTCCTGGATTCTTGGTCGGCTCCGGTCGTCCATCCTCTCCTACAGTCACGGCGACGACCGCCGTGACAATCTCGACAGGGCCGTCGTCGCGTTGCCGTCGCACAAGATGCGCTCCGGCGTGTTGGTGCGCCATGGCGTGCATTGTGACGTATCAAAAGGTCGACTCGGGGATTGGTAGATTATGTTTATGGTGTTTATGGCTCTTGGGAGAACTCCGCCGTCAAATTTACAATGACCAGCTATTGCGTTCGAGGTTCCGTTTGGTGCGTGATTACGTAGTCGCACAGTCTAGGATTTCTCGATCGAAGTCGGCTCGTTGTAAGGAATGTGGTGCTCGATGGGCGCACGGGGGTGGATGTCGTGTATTGGGTGAACTAGGCACTAGACAGAAAAGAGTGTAACTATGGTTATGTGGTAAAGAGTGAAATGCGACAGGTAGCGCTTGATGAAAGAAGGACAAGACGACAACCTGGCCGCAGGAGTACGTGATGTCGTGAGAGGAATTAGAGAGGCGGCGTGGAGGTGAAGAGCGTCGGCGCAGGACGCGGCAGAGACCAGGAAACAAACGGCAGAGCGCCAACCAAGCTCGAAACGCCCGCGTGCCTGGCAAGGCCGAACCGTGAGAGCTGATCCGTGCAGCCGTACATCTTGCCGTGATGCGCGTTAGCCTGAGGTTAGGTCCAGGTACCCGTGAATGGTGATTGGGCCTCCCATCTAATTTCCTGGGGGCGTTAGGCGCTCGAGCTATTTTCTGCCTCAGCCTCGCGTTGGTTCGCAGATGGCGGTGCACTCCCCCTTATCGAGGGTGACTATCGGCGCGTTTGATATGGCGACATGGGCTTGAAGAGCTAGATGTCATCATAGTTATTGTGTGGTGGCCGATGCGCATTGTTCGCATGTGCTCTCGCGGCGTACGACCGCTCCATCCAATATAGCTCATCGACGCGCCCAGTCAGCGTAAGCAGATCGAAAGAGCAGCGATATAGCGACCCAAGGAATATCCTGCACATCCGGTAATTACCTGCAGATGGCAGATGCAAGCCTGGGTGCCTCGTGCATGGAGGTTGCTTTCCTCGGCCGGTACCCGTCGAGTCGCAATTTCGCTGCTCATCAAAGCTGCATAACAACACGGCAGAGCCCGGTCGATGACAGCATGCCTGCGCTAGGCGGTTGTATGTTTGCGACGATTATCTCAGGTCGCGTGCCCTTCGCATCGTGTCGAAGCGTCTTTGGAATCTCAGGGCGAAGGAGTGCAGTGGCAAAAGTAATTCGCAGTGGAAATTGTCAGGTGTGGCATTAACAACAATGAAAGACCGGTGGTGTAATGTCGGTTGTTGAGGGCACGGCATGTCCATCTTTGTGTTAATCGTGGAATCTACGGTTATCGTCAGATGTTTTTTGGTTATATATTTCCTCGCGCATCGTTTAGCCGTGGTTTCTAGCTGGACGCATTGTATGATCGTGCAAGATAATCCATTGAGTTGCCGCTTTCAAGCGGAGTGATTTCTGTGCACTATTGCTAAAGGGTGTTGTACTATAATGATCAGGCCAAAGTCTTGATCTCTTTTCCACAGGCGTTGCAATGAGGTGCAGCCCTCCAGCGGTGGCCCCTAAAAAGCATATGTGATGGGCATGGTACCCGATGTTACCCCTGGAAAGACAAAATGGAAGAAAAGCTGTGCTACATGAGCATGAACTACACGTTCGTCTGTGGCGCACTGTTAGCACCTCATTGCCAAAAAGAATTACCTAGTAGCGAATTAAACTTTCGTGGGATTCGGCCTGCGCCTATAAGTTCAACTTTCCTCCACAACTATAACTACAACCACATCGACGCGAGCAAAAAGAATGCTACCGCGTCGACGACAACGGCGATGAATGTGCCTGCTACCAGAATTGAACCTTCACGGCACGTCAGCGCCCTGTCCTCGGTGCGACTCGAATGGGTGTACTTACTGGCGACCTCGTCATTACTAGTGACGCGCTCTACCACTGAGCTAAGCAGGCGGGTGTTGGTGTTGTTTGATGATGACTAAGACAAAAATGCCGTGTATGTAGTCGGAATAAACGTACGGGACAACAGGTCGATGTGTTGTACAGTAGGAGAGAGCAATTGTTGGAGTAATTAGTCGTGTTCTCCACATAGGTGGGCTCGTGGATACGGGGTTTCGATGCGGCGGTCGAACTAGCGCGACGGCTGCCGAAATAGCCCCAGAGGAATACCACCGTCGTGAAAAGGTGACATGCGAGACACGGAATACACTCCAGTCCGACTGAAGTAGATGGTGCGAAACCGTATAGACGTTCTGGTGAGGCGTTTGGCATGTGAAGCCTGCAGCTGGTGGGGACAGAGCCTCCAGAGAACCGGAGCTTGGGCGCAAATAAGTGGGGCGCGCTAAACGATGCGCTATCGGCGTGCAGTCACCGATTCCATAGCTTCTTCGCATTCTGTCTTTTCAGAATCCCGCATCATGCATTCGACGTCGATAACGCCATCTCAGGACCACTGAAGAACATCCATCGCAATCGCGGCTTCATCTTGTGTAGTCGTGGACCCAAAACCTGCTGCACCGCGCCTTCCTCGAACTGCTACTCAAGCTTTCACTCAGGGTCCGCGCACATTTGGTCGATCAAATCTTCTTTTGATGGCCAGCGCTGCTCCCATTCAGAACAGGCCATACCGCTCACACAAAGTACCGGCCTGTACGCGATGTCGTTCGCGCAAAATCCGATGTCACATCGACATTCCCGGAGAGCCATGTTTGTCATGCCGGGAAAGACGGCTCAAATGCCAGTATGTCGAAAGTTCAACGACCAGCTCTCCTACAGAGGAGGGCCCAGATCGACGGCCCTCCAAGCGGCGACGGCACAGCGAGCCTGAGGAAGGTCCTTCTCGGCCTCGCTCAGCACCCATCTTGCATAAAACCAACAACAATCCTTCTGCCTCTATCATGCTTGCGCCGCATTTCGCTGAAGATATAGACATCTTCAACCGACATATCTCGCAGCATAGAAAAGCAGAAGGTGAAGTGGAATCTTCCAACTATCAGACGCTTCTCCATGATGCAAAAGATCCCGTGGTGTACCTTACAGTGCCAAGGTTTCGGACTGGATTACCACCAAACAGCGGCTGCGGTAGAGAACAGCTGGAGATTGTTGAGCAGATAATGGGGCCTTTCAAACGAGAAGTGGTCGAGCTGTACTTCAACCACATTCACTACCATTTTCCCATCCTAGATGAGGAGATGTGTGAGATGCTGCGGACAGGGCAATACGGCAGAGTACCAAACAATTTGATGTGTGTCATCTTCGCACTTGCATCGCCACACTGGGCCAAGTCAGATACCCTGAAGATGCACCCCAAACCAAACTCATACTACGTTTGGAACAAGGCTATCTCAGCGACTCTGGAGGACTTTCTCAGCCCTGGAATGTCTACTATTCAAGCTGCAGTGTTGGACCAGGTTGGGCGGCCTTCGGTCTCTATTATCGGCAACATCACGTTATGTGGCCGGACCGTATCTCTGGCGCAGACATTTGGGCTGCACAGAGACCCATCAAAGTGGAACATTACAGAGAACGAGAAGTCAGTCCGGATGCGACTGTGGTGGTGCGTTCTCATCACGGACCAATGGTCTAGTGTCGCATATGGCGCACCACCGTATGTGTCAAAAGGCTACTACGACGTACCGCGACCGACCGTGAGCTCGCTCATTGGCACAAAGGCGACCTCACAGCAGAAGCAGACTACCACCTGCTTCATACATCTATGCTCTTTGACGGAGCTGCTGGCCGAAATCTTACCCTTCGTTTACCAGATCAGTCCAGATCGAATACAACTCGCCCGGGAGATTGATCGCTTCAAGCACGAGCTAGACGATTTAGAATCACAGCTACCGGAATGGCTCCCTCTTCCAAATCGACCGGGTACACCCATGCTATGGCTCTCGTTCCTCTCGATAAGGCTTGTACTTGCCCGTCTCATCTTCCGCGCAGCTGTCCTTGATGGAGACGGCAGTATAGGGCGAAGTCGAATGGACCAGTTGCGCATCGCATCATCAGCAGTCCTCGACTTCATATTGACCATGGGCGAAACCCAGTTCCTGGACTTTTGGCTGCCCTATGCGACACACCTCTTAGTGCATGCAATCACCGTGTCGCTGCGCTGTACTGTCGAGACTCAAGATCCTGAAATACGAAACGCATGCGTCTCGCGCCTCGAAGGCGTCATTGCGCATATTCAACATGCGCGAGACAACTACGACTGGGACCTCGCAAACTACTGTTTGGAGCGCTGCGCTGATCCTGTGTCGAAAATCGCATCGCTGAACGCACGAGAAGCGCCGCAGCCATCGGAGACGGAGCTTACCAGCGTTGCGCCTAATGGAAATGGGATCGATGTGCAGGTGATGCCTAATTTCGACGACGCGACATTCTTGTTGTCGGACATATTGGATCCGAACGCTTTCGATTTCTCTTGGGATGCGCTGTGGGATACGCCGTCTGGAATGACGAATTTCTCTTTATAGAATGCTCGTGTTTTGTTATACCCATGAATTTGGGCGAACCATCTGCGTAGGCCCGCATCTACCCCGCCCTGAGACTGCCTCACGTTACGACCGTTGCTGTGCCTCATTTCCTTGAAGTTGACCTACTCCCCACACTCTGGCTTAGAACTTAATCCACTTGGGCATCATCATTGCTCATACATCGACGTCAGTGCTTCGAATCGAAATGGTTTCTGTCGCAGACACCGAATGGATCAACCCTGAGCGTGGAGCGCACCAATCATCTGACGCACAGCCTGACTGTAAGATCTGCGGCGACATAAAGACACTCCTTTACTCTGACGAGCCCGAGAGATATGAATTAGAGCTATCTTTGGGCGTAGCCGAAGATCTCTTACAAAGCCAATGTTCTCACGTGGAGATGTTCAAAGATTGGCTGCACAACCGCATCACAGTCGATCCAGCCTGTGCAAAATGCTACCTGGACATCAAGGAAGACCCAGTGGAAAGGAGATGTATACATTTCCGGCTCCGGCATCGGTTCCATTCAGACATCGACACTGCACATTTGCGGCTGCTGTTCACGCGCAGGAGCCACGGCGTGGCACCGCAGTGCATGGGTTTACTTCGCAAGCTCACAGTACCCGGTCATCCCGGCAGAATGCGGGCTGTAGATCCTCGATGGATTGATGTGGACTTATTGAAGCATTGGATCCCATCGTGCGACGCAACTCACGGCGTTCGATGCCGCCAGTCATCTTGGCTCCAACAGTCAGAGGCTATAAAGCCCAAATACCTCGTTGATACTTTGGAAATGTGTGTCGTTGAGGGTGACCAAACTGCGGCCGAATACATCGCATTGAGTTATCAATGGGGCCAGACAAAGACACTAAGAAACACGATTGAAGTGCGGGAAAGACTTCTTAGGCCTTTCTCACTTTCAGACGGGGACCTTGCTCGTTTCATTCCACAAACAATTAGCGATGCTTTCGCTGTTGTTAAAGTGTTAGGCTACAGGTACCTCTGGGTGGATGCCTTGTGTGTGGTGAGTGCCTGCATTTACCAACTGATGCAAGGAGCATAGGCTCTGACACTATCTAGACACAGGACGATCATGTCGAGTTTGCTACGGAGCTGCGTCGAATGCATCGCATCTACAACTCTGCTAGCTTCACCATTGTTGCTGCCGACGGATCCGGCGCGAGTCATGGACTACGCGGGCTTAAAGGTCTGACCGCCGCAAGGAACCATTCTCAAGTGCCTATACAACTATCCGGATTCGAGCAGGTGGTCGAAAAGCATCCTTCGCAGCGATACATGAAGTCTCGGGATCGGGGCGCCTACCACACGAGGGCTTGGACGTTCCAAGAGTTTCAATTTTCACTCCGGAGATTAGTCTTCCAAGATGATGCCGTCGAATGGCATTGTCAAAATGGTCGATGGCGCGAAGATGTGATTAGGGAAATTCCTGGATTAGACCGCAGCGCCGATGTCATGTTGTACAGCCGTTCCACGGTTTATCAAGAGCTTGCCATTGCACTGCCCACAACGGGAACATTGGTCCCTCTGATATCGAGCTTCAATGAACGGAATCTAAGCTTTCCAGAGGACGCGTTACCTGCTTTTGCTGGTATTCAAAGCTTGCTCGAACAGATCTATCAGCCTGGCTTTCTATACGGACTTCCAGAATTTTGGTTCGAGCTTGCGTTGTGGTGGACTCCTTTCAAAGATCTGGAACGTCGCGTCGCTTCAAATCCAAGACCCTCTACTGAAAGGTCTTATCAATTGCCGAGTTGGTCTTGGGTCGGCTGGGCCGGTGGTATACGTTTGCCCGGTAATGAGACCCTGGGCCATGCAGGTGATGACTTTACAGAGCCCGTCACCAAGTGGTATACTCTTGTCCACCCTGTCTCTGCCGACCGAAGACCGATCAAGTCAGCATGGCATGAGTACCGCTCAAGGTTCATCGAGGGCCACTCAACCACGCTACCAGAAGGATGGAAGCAATACGCTGATGATAAGCACGGATACGTGTTTAGACACACTCGCGGAGGGAACTGCCTATATCCATTCCCAGTTCCGGAGCCTTCCTCTGCAAGTGTCAGCATGTCCGTCCCACAAACTGCGTACCTCACTGCCCAAACAAGTCGAGCGTTCTTCTTCGGCAAGAGCGTGTACATAAATCCATTACATAGACTGGGTCAGCATCCTTTGTGGCTGAAATCTTCGCAAGGTCAATACGTTGGCCTTCTTCACCTCCATAATGCAGAAGAAGTGTCTTTCTTCAAACACGAAGACGGCGAGTTCTCACGGAAGAAACCGCTCGAACTCGTAGCAATATGTAAAGGCACTTCCAAGGCTCTGTTATCCCCCGAACTAGACTGGGATGTCGAGACTCTGAGACGTTGTGACACGGGCAATTTTGACGATCGGGACAAGATCGGGAACGGGCCGCCCGTTGACTGCATGTTCGTGCTGTGGATCGAGTGGGAAGATGGAGTTGCGTACCGAAGGGCTTGCGGAACAGTCACTGCTGAAGCTTGGGAACAAGCAAGGGAGAAAGAGCTTGTTGATTTGATCCTTGGGTAGTGGATATATTAATTACGTAAGGCCGAGCATCCAAGGCCGGAAATCTTTCCATAGATGTACTGCCATACTCATAACCATGTCCCGTGGTCGGCGTGATAGCAAATGCGTGACTCTATAGATGCTCTTTGCGAATCCGACAGCACTTCAGCAGCTTTCCAGCTACCAAAGCCATATCCCATGCCAGGACGTCACCTATCCTTAGTTTGTCCAGGCTGTGCGAAGGAAGACGTTTTGATAGATAACCTTGTCGCCGACAACAACATACTTAAGTCTCTTAGAGAACACAACATCAAGAAGGCAGACAAAGATATAGTAGCAAAAGTAGTCGTATTAACAGATAAAATAAGTTCTCTTATAATTGCTACTAACACCGCATCTCCTTCTGTCGCAAATAACAACACAACTACTTTCGCTATTACGTTAATAAACAAAACAAGTTCTCTATCAATTGCTACTAACACCGCATCTCCTTCTGTCGCAAATAACGATACAACTGCTTCCGCTATTGTAGTTAATTCAAACTTCGTACAGAACGTTATACCCTGCGACATGAAAAATATTACAAGATAATCATGCAACGCTGAACAGAACACGTAGACTTTGTACAAGGCTTTCAATACAAAAAACAACCCATGTGGTTTCGTGCAGGGGCCATTTCTTCATTGACTCAAACTCGACACGGTCCGTATTACTACTTCGACATCACATGAACATGGAAGGTGATTTGCAAACCATTTCTCTTATCTTGTCTATCCTCTAGCTTGATAACCTAGTGTTTGCAGGAGTATTGATAAACGTAGTACTAACAACTTGGCTATCGCTCATCCAGCCTCTGGCACACCTTTCCCACCCTCCTCGTCACCATTATATCGGAGTAGAGATTCACCCTTCTGCACTTCTCCACCCGCCGCTAACTCCTCAGTGCCATCTTGCTGATTCTCAACAACATTATTCGCACTACCACCACCCTTACCATCCTCACCACCATCAACCCCAACCCCAACCCCAACCTCATTAATTCCCTCATCCCCTTCTCCCTGCACAACCACATTTCTAACCCTCAGCACACCCCTCCCACCACCATGCCCCTCCGGTACCCGATAACTCCTCGGCAGCGTCCGACTGCTCGACTGCGAAGTCATCGTGCGAATCCGCTGAGTACCACGCTCATTGACTTGGCGTTGTGTGCGGAAGTGTCGTGTAAGAGTTTCGTGGGGGGAAACACTGGCCTGGGGTGATGAGGTCGAGAAGCCAGCGGGTAATTCATCTGCTCGCTGGATAGCTGGTGCGTTCGTGTCGAGATCGTAGGATGCTGTGCCGCTATGCGCAGGCGGCGTCGGCTTGGTAACAAGATGGTGTTGATCCCGTTCAACCGCCATCATCAAATCCCGTATCTCCCTTGCTGCATCCTGTTGCAGAGGTAGATCTTCAAGTTGCGTTTGCCGCAATCGGTCGCTGAGACTTGAACCTGAGTGCTCTTGTCTGGGTCCTCTCTGCCCGCTCTCTCCATCCCCTTCAACTCCTTCAACCTCTACATCCGACACAGCTACGGAAACAGGCAAAGGAGTAACCACCCTAACACTCCCCGGCGCCCTCTGAATCATCTGCGAAAGCCCAACCGGCGGACCAATAACACTCTGCGTCCGACTTTCTAGGTTCGGGACAAGAGAAGGTGGATTGGGCTGTGTGCTGTCTTTCCTCTTCTTCGCTTTGGGTTTGGGGATGAGTACGGGGATTTCTGTGGGGTTGTTGATGTTGTTGATGTGGTGGGTTCGCGGCGCAGATGGTTCGGCTAGGCGGAGGGCCATGAGGCGTTCTCGGAGTTTTGCTTCTTCTTGTCTTTTTTGGGTGCGGTTTATTTTGTGGGAGAGGTAGGCTAGGGTGTATTTCTTTGGGGTGGTGGGTGTGTTTGTATCGTTTGGTATGGGGATGGTGGTGTGTAGTGGTGTGACGGTTCCGGGTCGACAGGTAAAGGTGCTTAGGAGCCGGTTCATCATGTTCTTTCTCCCTGCATTGGTTTCCCCAGAGGAAGTCCTCATGGCGAACTCCTCGTCTTCTTCGTTCTCTGCCATCCTTCTCTCTTCACCAGTCAAAGCGTCCAAATACCGCCGCCTAACCTCATCCTCCCGTTCTCCGCCCTCACCTCCACCACCCTCATAACTCTCCCCTACAGACCCAAACACCCTCTCGGGATCATACTGCACAGGCGAAGACACCGTCCGTCTCCTCCCCCTCCCTTCCCCCCTCCTCCTCAAATTGCGCTCACTCTCCGTATGATACCCCTCAAGCCCAAGCCAATACTCTCTCATCCCTTCTACGTCCATACCGTGGTAAGGATGATTAGGCGCATACGTATACCCCCCTTCTACACCATCACCATCATTGTTGTAACCATGATTTCCTTCTTGTCGATAATCAATCCGGTAACTCTGACTCGACGCCGTCCCCTCCGCAGAAATCAAATGCCTGCTCGCATTAAACGGACTAATAGGCGAAATCGTCCTATCACTCGGATATATCGGGAAGCGGGCGTGCGGTGTAGGCGGTGTTACAGCGCGGTAGTATGGGGAGGGGGATTGTGTGGGTCGAGGTGGTGGTGGTGGTTGAGGGGGCTGGGAGAAGGAGGTTGGTGAGGACGGTGCGTCTTCTGGGTAGGGATTTGATGGTATCGATAGTCCGGGGGATGGAATCGATAGTCCGGGCGAGGAGTTTGGGTGGATGATTAGGTTGGGAGGGGAGGGGAAGGGCGGGGGAGGTGTGGTTCGCGCGGGTTGTCGGGTTAGGGGGAGGAGGAAGTCGTCTTCGGGGTAGGGGTTTGAGGGGAGGGAGATGGAGTCTTCGTTTTCTTGGCTGCCGGGATAGGGTGGCTCTTCGTCTTCGCTTTCGGCGTCTTGGGTAGCAGTATGGGGTGGTTCTTCGTCCTGCGCTTCTTCGTCCCGCGCTTCTTCTTCCTGCGCTTCTTCGTTCTGCGCTTCTTCGTCCTGCGCTTCTTCCTCTGCCACCTCCCTATTCCACTCCCCAGCCCCCAGATCCCTTAGCATACTCTGCAGCTCACGCCCTTTCTTCCTTCCAACCTGCACATCTCCGTCAGCAACCACTCATCCCCTTCCTCACCCCAAACATCAATCACATACCGTAGCATACCTCCCCCCACCCTCATACATCCTCTTCACACTATCCAACCCCCTCCTCCTCGCCGCCCCACTATTCAAACTATGATACGCCACATACATCTCCCGCTCTCCCTCTCCATCCCCGACCGGCAACCTCTCCTCCGCGATACGATGTTCCGACCTCATCAACCTCTCTTCCTCCCTATCCATATCCAACTCCCATTCTCCACCCCACGTCCCGTCGTTGATGTTCTCCCTACTTGAGTCGCGATCTCGTTGGCGTAGGGGTTCCATGCTATCAGACCTTCCATCACAGTCAACATCCCCCTCTCCCTCTCCCTCCCCCTCTCCATCCCCCCACCCCACGGGACTCACATCCCTCAGATCTTCCTCCGATTTATCCATGCCGGTGTAGTACAGACCCAGCGACGCAGAGAGTGCCGTACGAGCATTGTCGCCCCGGCGACCTAGACTATCTCTGCGGCGAATGGGGTTTGTGAACCTGCCTTTGAGGGAGACGACAGTTACGTTTTGGCGGATTGTGGCGATGCGGTCGCGGAAACGGGCGAGGTATGCGGCGGTTTGTTCGGGGGACATTGTGTGCGTTTGCGCTGGTTCATGGGATGGTGACAAGAAGGTGTTGCACCTGCGGTCGCCTGGCTAGGACCTGAACCGACTCCTGAATTCTATTACAACTACTGTGCGCTGTGGGCACTCATATCCTGGAAGCGAGACACGAGGGTCGCACTGCTTATGGTCTGGTTGAGTAGGTGGGTTGAGTGTTGTTGAGCTGTCAAACGTCAGTGGTTTTGACATCCTTACCCGTACATTGGACCCTTATAGCCATATAACCATTAGTCACATAAGACACAAAAGCAATACGCACCAATCTTAGAAATACGTTTCATTAGGTTACCACACCATGACTACACCTTCTCTCCTACACCCAGCAAGTTCAGCAGAACTTCCTTCGCCTTGTCTGGCTCGACACTCCCGTCTGGAGCTCTCATCACCATTTGTCCCACGAACCAGCCGACCTTCTTGACTTGACCCTTTTCGGTGATGTCGCGAACCATGTCGGGTTTCTCTTCTAGTAGAGTTTGTGCTAGCTTGATGTACTCTTTCTGGCTGAGTGGTTGCAGGAGGAGGTTTTCTTGGTGGATGACTTCAGATACGCTGCGCTGATCTCCCTCAAATTTGATGGCAAGTAGGCGTTTTGCGGAAGGCGACGTGACCTCTTTGCGACGTATGTGTGAGATGACACCGGCAAGATAGTCGGCCGGGACGCGGTTAGGGTCCCAAGGTTCGTCTTGGAAGAGAGAGCCGAGTTCCATCAATACCCTGGTCACGCGTTAGTTTGATTACGACGCGTAGCATAGCAGATGAACATACCAGTTCCCAGTGATCTTGCCCAAGGTTTCAAGCGGAACGTCTTTCTCGTGCTCAGTTTGACGGACCAGGCAGCGGATGACGTCCAGATAATACTCCAATCGTTCGCCATCGTCCATGGAAAGAAGTGTAATGGCATCCTTGATAGTGAGTCCGTAGGTATTGGCGAGCATGTCCACGTTCACATCCGGCAGCTTGGGAAGGGTGTTCCGGAGGTGTTCAACAAGATCCTGATGAGATTAGCACAGCTTTCATGCCAAAAGTAGTGCCTGTGCTTACATTTCCAATGATGACAGGAGCAATGTCTGGATCCGGCATATAGCGGTAGTCGATCTCGCCCTCTTTGCCTCTGAGACGTTTGGTAGTTTTGCTTCCAAGAGTCCATCCGCGAGTCTCGCCCTCAACAACACCTCCGCTCTCGAGCAATTCGATTTGTCGATCACGCTCCGCGATGATGGCGTCTTCGACAGCCTTGACGCTTGCCAGGTTCTTGATCTCAGTCCGCTGACCCAGACCAGTAACACCGTGGTATGAGTGACTAGAGACAGATGACTCCCCTGCGCGTTGACGAACCGAAACATTGACATCGGCACGCAGTCCGCCCAACTCCATGCCCGTTGTGCAGGCATTGACAGCCTTGAGTATGTTTTGTATCTTGCGAACGACGACAGCAGCGACTGTGGGATCGTGGATCTGAGGTAGTGTGATGATTTCGATTAGGGGATGCGAGACGCGGTTAAAGTCGAGTAGGTGGGTCGAAGGGGGTTGCTGCACGGTCTTTGCGGTATCCTGCTCCATCTGTATCTGCTTGATGCCAATCTCGACGGGCCCTGGTTGCGGGGCAGCGCCAGGCGGGAAGTCATGAGGGTACAGGGTAATCTTGCCGTTCGTCGCAAAGGGCTCGTAGTACTGCGTGATCTGGTAGCCGGAGGGCTGATCTTGATAGAAGTAGTGCTTGCGGTCGAAACTGCTCTTGGGCTGTATCTCGCACTGGAAGGCTATGGCGGCGCGAAGGGCGGGTAGGAGGGTTTCCTTCTGGAAGTGAGGCTGAGTACCGGGAAACGCGACGTCGAATAAGGAGACATGAGTATTGGGTGCCTCGCTGACTGAGGTTGCAGCACCAGAGAAAAGCTTCCGCGCGGTGTTGAGTTCGGCATGGACTTCGATTCCAACCGTTAGTTCCCACTTGTCTAGTCGCACATCTTTGCCCTTTTTTGAAGACTTTGAGGCGCCAGAAGAAGCGCTCTTCTCTTTCTTTTGTTGCTTCGCAGCATCTTTCAGCTGCTTTCGGAACGCCGTGCCATCCTGGGTCGGTGGTGGCTGGGTCTCAGTGTGGAGAGATCGTGCTGTGTGACGCGTGGGAAGCTGGACAGCGCCCAATTGAGACTGTCTAGTCCGGCGCAGACATGAACGACATATGTAGGGCTGTTTCGAGGCTGTAGCAAGAGTGTTGCGCGTGGTGCGGGCGAACATGACGTGAAGTATGGCGAGCAGCAGTTCTGGTGCCAATGCACAGTTGCGGGCGGTCTGTGCTCACTTCCGAGCCACCTTGGACCAGCGACACGCGACGCCAACCACCCAATACTTCAACGCCAGGAGATGAAGCCGGCGCCAACGCCAAGATCTCTCTCGTTGCTTGTTCCATTCGAACACGTTCCGACGTCGGCCGAAGGGTCGTCGAGCTCGACGAGCTTTATCGACATGGTCTCGATGCCACCGCATTCACAACGACCGTCCGCTTTAGGTCACCTTGTGGAGTAACCTCTGCAATTTCCTGATTGCCCACTCAACAAGGGCTTGTCTCTTTCCGGGTCGTCTTCTTTTCACCCTCTCGAGGTCGATAAGACGGAGGTTGGCAGCGACTCCGCCTAGATTCTCGGGCACTGACAGCGTTGGATCCGATTCGCAAGAGCTTCCCACCGCGGCATGTGTCTCTGGCGTCGCGGTCGGGGTATTTTGGTGTACAGTGGTCGGCGCGTAGACATGAACATAACAGGTGACGTTCTGATAGAAGGTGTGCTCACCCGCGTTAGGGCGAGGAATGTCGAAACTACCGACGTTTGCCATGCGAGTCGTTTCGATCGGCTCTCTTCTTGCGGACACGGGCCTTCAGTCTTCTGAAACGGTTGCGGCACCTCTGCCACGCTTCTTCGTCTTTCGGTCGGTCGGCGGCGTGTACGAAGTTCCCAGGATGGACGTAAACCCCCTGCCAACGGGAAAAGTCTGCCTCTGATTGACGGCTTGTGTTTGTGTCGTGAGAGAATCGCACGCTCCGATAACTCCGACTACTGCGAATACTGGCCCCCATCCGCGCAAATGGGTTGAATGTTCCGGACTCGAGCTTACTGAGACGTACGCGAGTCTTGACCGAACAACCGTAGCCTCAAAACTTGCCCTTGATGATATTCTCAGCAACAGCTTTGGCGCTGTTCAGGAACTTCTTTGTCTGTTCCTTTCTCTTTTCCTTCTTCTGCGTCCTCGCTTGTTTACGCTCTTCTTGTTGCTGTCGTTCTTCTGGTGTGCTAGTATCGGGTTGTGTCTTCGACTGCGACGAGGTGGAAGGACCGGCAGTGTCTGTCTGGGGTGTAGCGGCGAAGTCGGTGTACTTGTATTCTCGTTCAGCTGGATGGGGTTCTGTGTCGGCACAGTCTTTCCCTGAATCGGCACCACAGTCACCTCCAGTATTGCCTTTCGAATCGGCTCCGCGATCTCCAGATGTCGTTCCACAATCGCCCGAGGATGTCGTCCCAGAGTCTGCGGCGACGAATGAAGACTCCATTCAAAGCTTTGATGTGTGTTTGGCGCAGCTTAAAGATGGAGCTTGAGTGTAAGTAGCGTGGCAGTCAGACGAATCTTCTCCTTCAGCTTAGCCGCCTCGTGGCGCTTCGCTTTGACTGCAACAGCGGTTTCGGCTCGGACTGCCCTTCGTTGTTGCTTCTTCTCTTTGCGTTCCGCTCTCTCACGCTCCCACTGTTCTTCTTGTTCTTTGCGTTTGCGGTCCGCTGCCGCTTGCTCCTCGGCTGTCAATGGTCGACTGGACGAGGAGGAACCACCTTGTGGGATGTAATCTGTTCCTGAATCTCCGCCTGAGTAGCTGCCGCCGTCTCCTCCGTCACCTGCGGTATGGGATGTGCTGCAACCGCCGGAGTCGCCGCCGCCACAGTCGCCGGAGCTATAGCTAGCGCTACCACAATCACCGCCGTCTGCCATATACTGATCTCAAGTTCCGAGTTGACAAAGCTTGAGCGTGAGCGCTTTTATGTAAAGCCGAAGTTTGGCCTTCTTCCTACCCGCGGCTGGGACGTTGGCCTCGATGTCTGCTTTGGCCTTGGCTCGAACCGCCCTCCGCTGTCGCCTCTTTAGCGCACGCTTTCTCTTTCTTTCCAGCTGGTTCGCTCTCTCCCTGGCGGTGAGATTGCTACCGGAATAGCCAGATACGAAAACTGGTGTGCTCGATGCGCAATGTGTACTAGTTCCACAATCTCCGTGTGACATGTAAGGTCGGATCTAGTAGTCCAGACGACAAATCGATCTCAAGTCTAGAGATGAAACCTGAGTTTGAGCAAGGTGATGTACAGCCTCAGCTTAGCCTTCTTGCTAGTCGTGTCCGGAAGCTTGGCCTTGGTGTCTGCCTTTGCCTCGTCTCGAACCTCCTTCCGTTGTTGCTTCTTCTCTGCGCGCTTCTCTTTCTTCTTTCGCAGTTCCTCTATCTCCCCGGCGGTGAGATGGCGACTGGGAGAGCTCGGTGCCCAGATTGGTGTGCTTGCAGACGAGATAACACCAGGTGTGCTCGCGATCGCTGGCGCTGACGGTGCGCACGCTGTACTTACTCCACAACCTCTAGATGTGGCTGCACAGGTCATAAAAGGTCGGTCGTAGTCGTCTACCAAAGACGAAAGATACCAAAGAAGTCGGCTATCTTAGCACGAAGTCCTTTCTTCAACGTACGATTCGCTGATCTCTCTGCTCTGGCTTCCCGGCGTCTGAGTTTGCGTAGTCGTCGCTCTTCGATGATCCTTCTCCTCTCGCGTGGTTCGAGTGGATTGGTGGCTCTCGGTCGGTGATTCGAAAGTGTTCGGCCTTGTCCCTGGACGGGGGCTTGAAGTACACCAGAGGCTACAGAGCTTGTTACACAAGTAGCAGTCGTGCTCATAAACACACTCAAGACGTCAGAGTGTATGCGTGGAGGTGCTCAGAAGTTTCCGGTCAAGATCTTCTTCAGCTTGAGGTGTATTCTGTCGAACTTACTTGGCGTATTGATTCTTCCGTTACGGACCCAGGTCTTCCGCTGTGCTTTGCGGGATTGCGTCTTCTCGAACTTGCGGAGGCGTTGGCGGGCTACGTGTAGTCTCTCGGTCGCGGTGAGAGGCCTACCGGTGAAGTGAGTTGTTCGGGGGTCGTGGCCTTGGTCGAAGATGGTGCGGCGTCTGTGAGTGATTCTTGGGCAGTATGTGCGCGTGTGGCGTTTGGATCGGGTTGGGTTGGCACGTCGGGTGTCAAAGGGCATGTACTCAGTGGGTGTGGTGCTGCATGGACTGTGGGTCTCGTTAAAGGCGCTGGTGAGGGTGATGTAGGTTGCGAAGGACTGGAGGTCGAGCGTGGTAGGGGAGGTGTGTAGGGACTGCACAGGATGCAGCTATGCTGATGCTGAGCTGCGAGACAGCTTAGTCGAGGTGGTGAGTGTGATGCCGATCAAGACTATTGTGGGTTGATAATAGGAATGTGCTATACAATAACGTTGTGACAGCAAACGATGCTTCGGTGTGGATGGGTGGTCATGCAGTGAGGTGTGTTGGGGTGAGAGTGTGATGGGGGAAGTTTGTTTGGGTCTCGCGATAGATGTAGAAGCTGGCATCTGTCGTGACTACCTTGAACATGAGGGTCTGTGGGTGCTATGGAAGGTATCAGTCGCACAAGATAGGACGGAGCCGCCCCTTCTCTCCACACACTACGGAATGGGCATTCTGCCCGCAAACAACATGCAGTGACAGTGGAGCTCACTCGTTTTGGGTCAAAGCAGCGAATTAATATCGAAGGGATTCTCATATATCTAGATAATATCATCAATAAGTTCAGTCAAAGACATATTATATTGTCTGACCAAACAAACCAGATCCTGGCCGTGTACTGCATGAAACTCCACCACACCGTCCCCATGCCATGAAAACTCGCAAAAACCCGCATTCAAGGAAACACAAACTTCCGATCCCCCATCATCCCCCACAGTTCCTGAATAACGGCACGCTGATCCTCGCGCTTCGCATTGCGTACAGCAAAGTAAAGACGACCCTCTAGCTCTGGGTCCCAATTTCCAGGGTTCGCGCTCACAACAACGCCACCAGCCTCTTCCAGAATACACCATCCGGCAGCGACGTCCCAGGAGTACACACCTCCTTCCCAAAACGCGTCGAGCATGCCGTGAGCTACGTAGCAGAAATCCAGTGCTGCGGAGCCATTTGAGCGTACGGACTTGCACATTGCGCCGCCCTCGATCTTGGAGGTAAGGAGAGCATTGTGGATCGACGTGCGCAGTGCCCAGTTGGGACCAGAGCGCTGGTTACCCCATTCGACGGCCATGAGGCAGGAGTTGAGCGATGGCATCGGCTTAGGAATGGGTTGGACAGGCAGCTTGATTTTGCGGTTGGTGAAGGTCTTGGTCAGGTAGGCGCCTTGACCCTTGACAGCATGGTACATATCACCGCGGAAAGGGTTGAATACGACTCCAACGACAGGCTTCTTGTCGATAGTCAGGGCCAGAGAGATAGCGCAGTTGGGTACACCAAGCGAGAAGTTCAGTGTGCCGTCGATTGGATCCACAATGAATGTCGGCTTGTCTGCGAGCTTTGTGCCATGCTTGAACGTCTCTTCGCCGAGGAAGTTGATATCAGGGAAGGCCTCAGCGAGGCGTCGTTCGGCCATGGCTTCGATTTGCTTGTCGAATTTGGTGACTACATCGGATGTGTTGTTCTTGTGGACGGTCGTGATGATACAATCCTCGGCTGCAACCATTATCTTTCCTGCATCCGTCGCAATGTCGATGAATAGACTATGGACTTCGTTGAGACGCTTAGTGTACTTGGCAAGGACGCCATCGAAGTCAAAGGCAGATGATGAGTCTGACGCAGAACTGGCCGGTACAAGTGGTGTTGTTGACTCAATGGATGATGTGGGGCTGGAAGACTCTGAGTCTGTTTGTTGAGATGCCATTTTGGTAGATTTGGTGAGGTTACTAAAGGAACGACTTGAGGGATTTGTGAGTAATGAGTTGGAGTGAGACTGGAAGTTGCCGTTGAGTCTGGAAGAGCTGGAGAGCTTTTGTCTTATGTACTTTCCGGCTTGGGCGTGATTTTGCAATGCTGTTGAATGAACGTTTGCCCTGTACGGTGAGTGTGCTTCTAGACGTTGTGTGTAATTACACAGTCCGAGGCCCCAGTAACTCGGTGTGAAAGAAGTCCACAGCTTGAAATTATTCGAGATTGTTGCCAGGTGAGGCGGCCCCACAGGTGGCATGGTATCTTTTTGTTGAAAGATACAACGGTTCTTGGTGACCAGGTACTAGACGTCGTAAGCCGGAGCTAATTGCGGACTCTTCTTATCTAGACACCTCAGGCAAGTCATCGCGGTAGGCAACTGGAGGCAACAACTTCGGCATCAAAAAACTGCTGATAAGAGAAGGCAAAAGTTATATGCCCTCAATTATGTCTCCGGGTACGTCCGAGCTGAGAGGAGTCGAATGTTACACTAGGTAAAGGGCTGGGGGTCGATCATGAGCACATCCGAGGCATGTGTCAACGGCTCCGTTCCGTTGCTCCTCAGAGCCCAGAGGAGCCCTGGGGCGTTCATACTCACGTTATCGCTGCAATTCAGAAACAGAATGTGTTCGTCAAATTCGTGCGCTGAGTTGGAGAAAATAGCACCTGCGCTACTTGAGTGATGGATGCTAGGCAAGGGTGCAGGCGAAGAGGAAAGCTCTATGCTGACGCACGGGCCATGACTAGAGCTCACATGCTGTACCACGATCCATGGATGATTTTAGCCACCACACGTGCACTCAACATCTTAAGCTACCGATGCGCCGGGAATTCATACATTTAAGAGATAGTATTGGGAGGTCTAAAATGATGTGCACTAGACTTTGGTCAAAGCAGTAAATTCTCAATCAAACGCCTCGCCAAACGACGTCATACACCTCCCAAACCTCCTGCCCGACGTACACCCGTGGACATCCCAAACATCGATATCAAACACCCAAGATGCCCCAACCGAAATCTCTCACAAAAGACCGCTACACGCGCCAACGCGCCGCTCGAGCTACGCGTAGGCAGCTCGCCTCTCTGACACCATCGACCTCGCATCCTCAACAGCAATCTCTATTCTTTACCATGCTTCCAGCGGAAATACGCTTCACAATCTACCAGCACGTCCTCTCCCAACAGCACGACCACACCCGCCCCATCGACATCCACTCCATCTCGCCCCTCTACCGCCCCCTGCACACCTATCTCACGAAAATCGACACAGCGTTATTACTCACGTGCAGACTAGTATACGTGGAAGCGCATCAGATATCATTAAGGAGTGCCACCCACCACTTCCGATATCTAGGTAGTACGTCGTGGTTGTACAATGGGGATATATGGCTGCATCATATCACTGCGCAGCGCGGGGCGGAGTTGTACCACCTCCACGACAACCTCGTCGCCCTGAAACCTTCAAACTTTACTAAATTCCTACTCAGCCATCTACACTGGCGCAGGATCACCTGGACGATATGCGCATACCTCCTCCCTCCCCTGCTCGCCGAACTACGCGAACGACAGCGCCTCGTCTCCACACTCGCATCCCTCACCCTCCCATCTTCATGCCAAGAAGTTAATCTAGAATTCGAGACTCGAGAGGATTTATTGCCGGATTGGCCGGGGTTGGAGAGCCAGATTGAGGACTGTAGAGTGTTGGGACTGAAGAAGAGGGATGGGAGTGTGTTGGAGAGGGATGATGCGTGTGCGGTTAGTTATACGTGGAGGGGCAGTGGGCATGCGAGGTGGGGGACGAGTGAGGATGGGGTGTGGAAGGAGAAGATGAGGTATTGTACTACGAGGGTTTGTTGGAGGGCGAGGGTGCCTAGGAGGGAGTATGCGAGTTATGATTTTTTGGCTTGTTTGGAGGTGGAGGTGGAGGGGGATGGGAAGGGGGTTGTGGAGAGTGTGAGGAGGTTGGGTGGGTAGTGGGATTTAGGGGAAGGTGAGGAGATAGGTTTTACAGCAGCGTTCACATTTGCATCATGTTATGGGCTGTCTAAGTCTGGCTCGATTGATCCTCTTCCGCCAAGCGTCTGTTCCTATCGAGGACCCTTTGGCCCTTCATCCTCACCACGTTGCCAACTGCACAAGTACGCTTGACGCGCAGATGTGCGTCGTGCTTCGTGGTACCCCTAATCCACCGCATTCGTCATACTTGACACTGCTGAAAATCCATTTAACGCTTGAACATAAACCCAAGAATAAAAACCAAACAAACAAACAAACATGGAAGTGCAAAGTAGAAGTGACTCCACTAACCTTGTGAGGATTTGAAGTACAAATGGGTATGTACTTGTACATGCCTGGGCATTCCGTCGTACAGTGTTGTTGAAATCGTCTGCAACCACACAAGGGCCGCTCAACCCAGGACTCTCGGACCATTCGACTTGCCCTTCTTCTGGACACCACGAGGTATGAACATGGCAGGAGATGCGACTACCGCGGGCGTGCTGTTGTTGCCATTTCCAGACTTGTCCTTGTTGTTTTTGTTGTTCCTGTTCTTCCCCTGCTTGTGTTTGTCGTCCTTCTTTACGACGGCCTTGACCTCAGATGTGGCTCGCTTGATGAGGACCGGGTGGCTGCCAATGTACTTGCCATTCATCTCCTTGGCGGCACGGAAGTAGTCGTCGGTGTCTGAGAAGCTCACGAAACCGTAACTTCTGCTCTTGGTGGACTTCTTGTCTCGTACGACGCGGGCTTTGGACAGAGACGGGTACTTGGCGAAAGCTTTGAGGAGTGAGTCGTCGGTGACTTCACCCGCCAGGTTACCGATGAAGAGCCGCGGGTGCAAGGGGTTCCACTCGAGTAGTGTCTCGTCCTCCCACTGTTTTCCACCTCCCTCGCGAACAACAGTCTTGCGCTTGCCGTCGGCTGCTGGTCCTGCTTCAGTATCCTGTGTGGTTGCCGCTTCCGGTCGAGCGGTCATGTTCGCACCGGTGCCCTTCTTCGCGTTCGCGTCGCCAGCATTGTATGCGCTGTTCCACTCGGCGATGCGGGCTTCTTCTTCGGGATCATAGGTGCCACCAAATCCGCGGTTCACGGTCGGAGCAGCTGGGTATGAGGCCGCAGCAGGTGCGCCCGTCGCGTAGGCTGGGTACGAGTAGTTGTTGTAAGCATTGCTGGTCGGGTATGCGGGTGCTTGATAGGGGGCGCTCACTGGGGCTTGCGCGTAGTTTGCCGGCGCAGCAGACGCCGGTGTGAAGCCAGCAAACATGGGCGAGTTGCCCTGGCCTCGTGCGCCGGCGTTGTTGGTCCTTGAGGGCGGTGCCGAGTATGTCGTGGGCGGCGGGCGCGCTGGCAGGGAGTGATGGGGCTGCATGTTGGAGTAGGAGCTGCGGGTCAGTTCAGCTTAACCTTAGCGAGGTGATGACTTAACCAGCTACTGGTCGAGACGCGCTCTGATGTTGCGGAGTGGGTAGACTGGTGATAGGACGGCCGGGTGGCTAAGGATGCGTAGTAATCTACGGTTCGCAGATTTTGAGGGTGCGCGCGGGTGTGGTTGCACCGATGAGGTGAGGCGCAGTTTCTGTATGGCTGGGGAAAATGCCTCTCAATGAAGCGCGTCCGTGTGAGTGAATAACCGCCCGGGCAGTGCCGTGCGCGTGAATGTCTGGAGCTGATGCTGACTACACGTCGAAGATGGCAGAAGGCAACAAGACTTTCCCGAAGTGTCTAGCAAGCGAGGCTGCAGGTGGGCGAGGACTAGGTCGGCGTTTGAAGAGGGCAGAGTGGGATGGCGGGCCGGTGCAAATTACAATTACCGTGGGGATGCGTCAGGCAGATGGGGGCGTCGACGTCCGTTGTTGGTTTCTGTCGCAGAAAGTGAGCCAAGCGGCTCCTCCGGCCCCGAAATCACGTGTTGCCGGCATATCGGCAGCCGCTGCACACCACGCTGCACCGCAAGGCTCAACCTTGAACAGCCAGCAAGAAGGTGCAGCATGATGCACAGGCGTCACCGGTGATGAGTTTTCTCACATCGCGTCAGCCCTCACAGTCCATCCAGGTAGCCTTGGAAACATTGCAAGACTTCTCCGGCGACCTGTCCTAGCGTATCCGGTGATCCCTGCACGCTGCCCCTCCATCCGTACTGCGTAATGCTGTGTTAAGGCTGAGACGGAGGGGCTTCACAAGCAGCCGCATTTGACCGCGACGCCGTTGGGACTGTTGCTTGCGTCGCTAGTCTGCTAGGATGAAATTGATGTCAATAGTGAATGTACACCGAGTCGTGATAGCCATAGCATCTGCAACCACTGCAACCATGCGCAACCCACCCGTGTCTAGCCCGCTCATTAGACGGCGGCTTTCTAATCATGCGACGTGATGTTCAGCAATCATGTCGGCAGCGGTGCAAACGTTTTACAAGACGGAATTGGCAACAGTGGCTTGTATGACATACCTTACCGCCGCGGCCGAAGCTATTCTCCGTCAACAGCGTGATGCTGGGATATGGTGGTGGGACGTGCCATTGATGCAATAGTAGTGTGCCCCGCTTGTTCCAAAGACTTTCCGCGTACATATCTTGACGACCCCCACCAGACTTCTTCTTCCTTCTCTTGACCATCTCCCGCTTTATAAGCCTCAATTGCCCTCGTATTGCACGCCCGGTCGCTGCAATTCTACCCCGCCAACACTTTCTCATCCACCCACCTACACCCACACGAGAACGCAATCATGTCTTCTGAGCCCGTCGGAGATTTCGGCCTCATCGGCCTGGCCGTAAGTACTCCATGCTCCGATCGCGTTCACGGCGAGTGCAGCAGAAAGTGCGCGTCGTCGTACTTTCCCGCCAGCCATTGAGTCCAGAGCGCGAATTATCCGGAGACATTCACCTCCAACGCATCAAGGCCAGCCATGCTGACCATACATATAGGTCATGGGCCAGAACTTGATCCTCAACGCGTAAGTCAC